CCCCGATAGACCAGGTTTTGAATCCCAGCTCTGTATAACCTTGAGCACGTTCCTTAAGATTTCTGAACTTGTGGGGCGCCTGGGTGGCTCAGTTAATTGGGTGTCCAGCTCTTGATTTTGGCTCAGGTCATGATCTCGGGGTCATGGGATAGAGCCCTGCATTGAGTTCTGTGCTTGGCAGGGAGTCTGCTTGGGATTCTCTCTCTCCCTCTGCCCCACTCCCCTGCATACTCTAAAAAAAAAAAAAATTAAGAAAAATAATGAAAAAAGATTTCTGAACTTCTGTTTAAATCTTTAAAGTCAGAAGAATGATACTTAGGGGCACCTGGGTGGCTCAGTCGGCTGAGCATCTGCCTACGGCAGCTCAGGTCATGATCTCCGGGTCCTGGGATCGAGTCCTGCATTGGGCTCCCTGCTCAGCTGGAGAGTCTGCTTCTTCTCCCTCTCCCTCTGTCCCTCTCCCCACCCCCAGATCATGTGCTCTCTCTCTCTCTCACTCCCTCTCAAATAAAAAAATAAAATCTTAAAAAAAAAAGTGATATTTACCTCATAAGGTATAATAATACTTCACAGGGAAGGATTAAATGAGAAAATGTATCTAACGTGTCTAGTGAACTGTATGGTTCAAAAAAATTGCTACGTTTTCTCACTTCTCTATCATCACAAAGCCTTTGAAAAACAAGTGTTTGAATCACTGGATTGATAGGTTCTATTTTGAGTCCAGGCATAGATTTTTATAAATTACAATGCCTTAAGAGATAGTCACATTACCTGAGTTCCATTTCAGTTTCTAGGCTTTCAATCTGCTTTGTAATGGAATCCTCTGACTCAGAAACTTGACCACGTAGTTCAGCAAGCGAGAATGTGCGCCTCTGTAAAGAATAGTGGGAATGAGGACGAACTGCTAAAAGGGAAGTAATCCTCCAAAGTTGTGAGGGTTTCTGCGGGGCGCAGAGTCTGATTATTGGTAATGCATTTCCATGAGGGTGCTTACCCGGAGTTTAGGAGGTGGATTCTCCCCAGATTCCTTTTTTTCTTTGAGTTGAGCCACATCCTGAGCCAGGATCTTTCTATCTTCAAGAAGGTCATTCAGATGGCGTTTGGCTTCCTCAGTACTAACCATAACCTCAATTTCATTTGCAAGCCAATTCTAGAAGAGAAATTGGTGATGTTGGGTTAGGGATGAGGGATCTCTGGCCCATGGGCTAGATTCAGCTCCAGACTTAATTTCACTCAGAACAGAGCCCACACAAGTAGAAGTGAGATTTCCATTCATGCCTACACTCACCCCAAATTGTAATAGCTCTCCAGGAGCTCTTAACAGCAATATCCTAAAAGGTCATAAGAAAGGCTTTCTGCAGAAAATCTTTCTCTAGATAACCCTAGTATTTCTAAACACTGTCTTTGCCTTCTCCATTTTCTCCTTAACTTGCCCTTAACTAGTCATGATAAGGAATTGAAATATATTTTGATTATCTGTTCTATTTAATACACAGGCACCCATTCTTTTTTAAATTTTTTTATTTGAGTATAGTTGACACATAATGTTACACTAGTTTCCTGTGTACAACATAGTGATTCAACATCTCTATATGTTATGCTGTGTTCACTACCAGTATAGCTACCATCTGTCACCATACAATGCTATTACAGTATCATTGACTATATTGATGCTATTCTTTTTATTCCTGTGACTTCATTCCATAACTAGAAGCCTGTACCTCCCACTCCCCTTCACCCATTTTGCCCATGCCTCTACTCCCCCTTTCCCTCTGGCAACCATCCATTAGTTCTCTGTATTTATAGGTCTGATTCTGCTTTTTGTTTGTTCATTCATTTGTTTTTTAGATTCCACATATGAGTGAAATCATATGCTATTTGTCTCTCAGTCTGACTTATTTCACTTAGCATAATACCCTAGAGGTATTAGGTCCATCCATGTTGTCACAAATGGCAAGATCTCATCCTTTTTTTATGGCTGTGTAACATTCCATTGTGTGTGCTGTGTGTGTGTGTATCATATCTTCTTTACCCATTTATCTATCAGTGGACACTTAGGTTGCTTCCTTATCTTGGCTATTGTAAATAATGCTGCAATACACATGGGGTGCAAATATCTTCAAGTTAGTGTTTTCATTTTCTTTGAGTAAATACCCAGTAGTGGAATTACTGGATCATATGGTATTTCTATTTTTAATTTTTTGAGGAACCTCCATACTGTTTTCCCCAGTAGATGTACCAATTTACATTCCCACCAACAATACACAAAAGTTCCTTTTTCTTCACATCCTTGCCAACACTTGTTATTTTTTGTCTTTCTGATTTTAGCCATTTTGACAGGTGTAAGGTAATATCTCATTGTAGTCTGATCTGGTGAGTAGTGATGTTAAAGCATTTTTTCATGTGTCTGTTGGCCATTTGTATGTCTTCTTTGGGAAAATGTCTATTTAGGTCCTCTGCCCATTTTTTAATTTGATTGCTTTTCTGGTGTTGAGTTGTACAAGTTCTTTATATATCTTGGATATTAACCCCTTATTGGATATATCATTTGCAAATATCTTCTCCCATTCAGTAGGTTGCCTTTTTGCTTTGTTGATGGTTTCCTTCACTGTGCAAAAGCTTTTTATTTTGATGTACTACCAATAGTTTATTTTTGCTTTTGTTTCTCTTGCCTTAGGAGACATAATTAGATATGCACTCTTAATCTTTAAAGTCAATGAATGAAATTTTTTAAGCAAACAAAACTAAATTTAGTTTCTAAAAAGTAACCATCTCTGAGAACATTTTCACTTTTTTTTTTTTTAAAGATTTTATTTATTTGACAGAGAGAGCACAAGCAGAGGGAGAGAGAGAAAGAGAGAAGCAGACTCCCTGCTCAGCAAGGAGCCCGATGTGGGACTCGATCCCAGGACCCTGGGATCATGACCCAGGCCGAAGGCAGCTGCTTAACTGACTGAGCCACCCAGGCGTCCCCATTTTCACTTTTGATGGAGACATACAATGCTTAAAAGTAATCAAAAGGAGGGTGGAGTGAGTGAATATATTAACATCAGATAATGTAAAATTCACATCAAAGACTATTATTGAGGATAAAAAAGATTATTTCATAGTGGTAAAGGAGTCAATTATTCAAAAGGACTTAATCCTTAATGTTTATATCTATAATTTAAGCACCAAAATCATACATAAGCCAAAAAAGGAGATAATATGAAATCACAAAAATACTCAGTTGATCCAAAAGAAGCCAGAAAACAAACAAAATAAAAGGAATGATGAACAGATGGGACAAATAGAAAATAGCAAGATAATAGAGTCAAACCTACCCATATCAATAATCATAATAAAAGCAAATGGTCTAAACACCCCAATTAAAATGCAGATTGTCAGACTGTATTATAAAAGCTAGACCCAACTATATGCTGCCTAGAAGAAACACATTTTATTTTTTTTTAAGTTTATGTATGTATTTTAAATAATCTCTACACTCAGTGTGGGGCTTGAACTCATGACCCTGAGATCAAGAGTTGCATGCTCTTCAGGGCACCTGGGTGGCTCAGTTGACTGAGCATCTGCCTGTGGCTCAGGGGTCATGATCTCAGGGTCCTGGGATTGAGCCCTGAATAGAGCTCCCTGTTCAGTGGGGAGTCTGTTTCTCCCTCTGCCTCTCCCTCCCACTGTGCTCTCTCTCAAATAAATAAATAAATGAGAATCTTTAAAACAAAAAAAAAAAGAGTTGCATGTTCTTTTGACTGAGCCAGCCAGATACCCCGGAAACACTTTAAAAACGAAGGCACAGATAGGTTAAAACCAAAGGGATTAAAAAATATATACCATTTTAGGGGCGCCTGGGTGGCTCAGTCGGTTAAATGTCTGCCTTCAGCTCAGGTCATGATCCCAGGGTCCTGGTATGGAGCCCCAGATCGGACACCTGCTCAGCAGGGAGTCTGCTTCTCCCTCTCCTCTGTCTCTCCCCTCATGCTCATGCTCTCTCTCTCCCTCTCATGCACACATTCCCTCTCTCTCAAATAAATAAATAATCTTTTTGGGGTGCCTGGGTGGCTCAGTCAGTTAAGTGTCTGCCTTCGGCTCAGGTCATGAACTCAGGGTCCTGGGCTCAAGCCCCGCGTCGGGCTCTCTGCTCAGCGGGGATTCTGCTTCTCCCTCTGTGCTTTCTCTCTCTCTCACAAGCAGGGGGAACGGGAGAGGTATATATATATATATATACACACATACATATGTATATATATACCATTATATGTGTATATATATGTATATATATACCATTCTAGCATTAGTAAAAAAAAAAAAAAAGCTGGAGGGCCTACATTATTATCAGAAAAAGTAGATTTCAGAACAAAGAATATTACCAGGAATAAGAAAGATCATTTCATAATAATGAAAGGATCAATTAATCCTAATTATTTACACCCCTAATAACAGAGCGTCAAAATACATGAAGCAAAAGTAGAACTACAAGGTGAAAAAGACAAATCCATAATTCAAGCTGAAGATGTGAATACCCACTTCTCAATAAATGATAGAATAAGTAGGCAGAAAATCGGCAAGCATACAGTAGAAATGAACAGCATAATCAAATAGAAAAGATTGACATTTATAGAACACTCTCTCCAACAATAGCAAAATACATGTTCTTCTCAAGTACACATAAAATATTTGCCAAGATTGACCATATTCTAAGCCATAATAAGCCTCATTACATTTGAAAGGATTCAAGTCACACAATGTTCTCTAACCACAATGAAATTAAATTAGAAATCATAACACAAAGATATCTAGAAAAATACCCCAATATTTGGAAACTAAATAACTCACTTGTAAAAAAACCCTTGGGTCAAAGAAGAAATCAACAGGGAAATTAGAATGCATTTTGAATTGAATGAAAATGAAAATATAAGTATCAAAATTTGTGGGATGTCATTAAAGGATTACTTAAGGGGAAATTTATAGCACTAAATGCCTATATTAGAAAAGAAGGGGCACCTGGATGGCTCAGTCGGTTAAGCATCCAACTCTTGATTTCAGCTCAGGTCATGATTTCAGGGTTGTGAGACTGAGTCCTGTGTCAGGCTCTGCTCTGGGCATGGAGCCTGTTTGGGATTCTCTCCCTCCCACTCCCTCTGCCCCTCTCCCTGCCTCAAAACAAAAACAAAAACAAAAAAACAACCCTCGAATCAATGACCTCAGCTTCTACCTTAAGAAACTAAAAATAATAAAAGCTAATTAAATCCAAGCCAGAAGTAAGGAAATAATAAAGATCAGGTTGGAAACTAATGAGTTGGGGTTTGGGGGACATTTTTAAAATTTTGGTAAAATACACATAACATAAAATTTACCATTTTAACTATTAGTAAGAATGAGCTGGTTCTTTGATAAACCTCTAGCCAAACTGATCATGAAAAAGGAAAAAGGCACAAAATATCAATAACGGGAATAAGATGATATTACCATAGCTTTTACAGACTTTAGAAGGATAATAAGGGAATATTATGAATAACTTTATTTGACAACTTAGATGAAGCAGACAAGTTCACCAAAACACACAAACTACCAAAGCTTACTTAAGAAGAAATATATAACCTGAGCAACCCTATATCTATTTTAAAAAACTGAATTTTAGTTAATTTTCACCTACTCCCCAAAGCAAATCTAACAAAAAACCCCTTCAGGCCCAGATGACTTAACTTGTGAATTTTACCCAACTTTTAAAGAAGAAACAATATTAATTCTATACAAACTCTTCCAGATAATTGAAAAAGAAGGAATACTTCCCAACTAATCCGAAGAGGCCAACATTACTTTGATACCAAAACCAGATGAAGACATTATAAGAAAACAACAGACCAATATCCCTCATGAACAGAGATGCAAAATTTTACACAAAATTTTTATTTTAGAAAAATTTTAATTTTATATACTGCTGATTTCAACAATACATAAAAAGGATGATATATCACAACCAAGTGGAGTTTATCCAAGGAACGCAAGCCTGGTTTCATAATTGAATATCAAAACACAGAATAAAACCTTACAACAAATTAAGAATACATAAGAACTTCCTCAATCTGTGGGGTGCCTGGGTGGCTCAGACGGTTAAGCATCTGACTCTTGATTTTGGCTCGGGCCATGATC